CCCAATGGGAACGCCCTTCGCTAGACTGCACTATGTGCCAAGGGGTTTAGTGTGTTTTTGTAAGATTAACTTCAAAAGACCACGTGGGAGAAAGAATCTGTGCATTGGGTGGAACCTGTTGGCACGTCAACATTTATGGCGTGTCCCTGTTGAGCTCGCTGAAATGTTTCCTCGCTTGTCGTGGTTGAGTGATGTTATGTTTGTTGTGTTCTCGTGGTGTGTGGTTTTGTATGGTGTTGTGGGGGTCTGGTGCTTGCCTAATACCCCTATTCGAGCATCTCTCGGAAAAAATGGTTCAAGATCAACTGTGAGCTTGAAGAACTCGGGACGTTGGAAACCTGTTCACTGCTTCAAGCCTAAGACATGCATGCAATTGAAAGAAGCGCCCGATGCAGAAGGACGCTCAGCTTCTTTTTCTGTTGTTGCTCAGAGGTGCAGGTTTTGGGATGCACATAAGTCAACATGCGTGTTCGACTTATGCATATCGAATCCCATGCGGGGCCTGAGAATCTACCCCCACTTAAGAGCTGTGAGCAACGGAACCAGGACCCCCTCTTCAGTGCGGTGCGTTGCGGTGCTTTGCGATGTTCTGCACGCCATGGTGCGTGGACTGGATGCAGCGTCAATACCGACTGATGATGCGGAACGGCGTCAAGTTCACGCTGGACGCAAACGCGTCTGTTGAGTTGGGCTGCCCACCTGATGAATGCGATGCTGGAACACAAATTGCACGAAAGGCCGCGATATGATGAAATTTTATTGACACCTGCTTCGGACGCTGTGTTGTCAGTGCCTGTGGAAATACACACAAGGTGCCGGGCATGGCCTTCCGCCATCCAAGCGATGCGCATGAGCACGAGTCGCGCCAAGTCTTGAAGAACGCAAAACTCCTTTGTTTCTTTGGTGAGAAACGGACTGCGCTGGACTATGCAGACTTCCCAAGTTTCTGCAAACCAAACCACGGCGTTCTTGGACACGTCTGTGTCGAGGCCTACCTTGCTACCCTTGGCACAAGCGTCGGCTGCTCTGCAAATGAGCAAGGTGTCGCGCAGCTGACAGGCAAGGTCCAGCTGAAAGCATTGCAATGGCCGCTCTATGCTGCGGAGTATCCACAGGTTCCGCGCGGAGGAATGAGTTAAGGCCTGTTGCACTGCTCCTAGCTTGAACCCAAACAACCCTCCAAAACAACAAGCCCCGCAAACCCAAAGGCGCGCACTTCTTTTCGGCGCGCACTTCTTTTTCACGGGTTGCTTGAGTGGCACTGCCTCCAGAGCACGCGGCGCGCTTGGAGCAGAAAGCATCATTGTACCCCCCTTAAGTGTTTCCAAGCAACCCCAAAAAAGGTGGGCTGCTCAGCCGCGGGGTTGTTCCTGCCAGGGTGAAAAGCACATCTCACCGGAAACTGTTTGGAAACGTACGGTATGCACTGGCGTGTGCGCGGAGGGAGGGGGTGCATTGAACCAGAGTTGTTGAGGTCTGCACACAAAGGCGCCAGAAGACCTGAGCTGCGAAGTTAAGCTTCCATCCACACCCTACAAGGCGGTTCTGGAACTGCGCTTTCTTCCAGGACATCGGTGCTGCGGCGCAGAAGAAGAGCACAACTACGCGAACATTTCCTGGGCACTGTCACGAATGAGTGCGCACAGGAGGTCGTCCACGATTTGCGTGGTTTTCCTGCCAGAGCCCATTCTGCCGCAGCAAGAAACTGAAGCGGCCACCAAAGTGGCACTCTGTAGCCACAGAGTTTCTTCTGAAAGGCAAAGAGGAGGCCAGGCTCTTTCTGGCGCACCTGATATGAAAGCACCTGGTGTGTCGTTCGGCTGAGAAGTCAGGGGGGTCTGATGCCCTTGGAAGGCTGAGGCGTTCCGGCAGCTGGTGACCTGCCACTTCCAGGTTCTTCTTCAGCAGTTTTCCACTTGCCTTCACCAACCTTGAGTTTTGTTTTTCATCTGGCGGCTTTTCTGGCCACTGCGTGCTGTGTGGCAAGGATTTTAACGCCCCAAGATGGGAGATTGCAACCATGTTGTTGCCACGCAACCGTTGCAGCCACGACGCGCGGGCTGCGGCTGGAACCAGTCCGCTGACGAACGCACGCCGGCTCCATTGCACACCGGCAATTGGTGCAGCAAGAAAGGGACGGTAACCTTGGCACGGAAGCTCGCAAACACAGCGGCAGTTTCGCCTTTCAGCCCGCCAGCATTAGCAGCGGATTTCGCCTTTCAGCCCGCCAGCATTAGCAGCGGATGGAAGCAAAATCGACAGGCAGTGCCACAGCCACTTGCTCTGGGCGGGTTGGCCCTCACTGTCTCTGTCTCTGTCTGTCTCTGTCTCTGTCTGTCCCTGTCTCTGTCTCTGTCTCTGTCTCTGTCTCTGTGTCTGTCTCTGTCTGTCTCTGTCTCTGTCTGTCCCTGTCTCTGTCTCTGTGTCTGTCTCTGTCTGTCTCTGTCTCTGTCTGTCCCTGTCTCTGTCTCTGTCTCTGTCTCTGTCTCTGTCTCTGTCTCTGTCTCTGTCTCTGTCTCTGTCTCTGTCTCTGTCTCTGTCTCTGTCCCTGTCTCTGTCTCTGTCTCTGTCTCTGTCTCTGTCTCTGTCTCTCTCTCTCTCTGTCTGTCTCTCTGTCTCTGTCTCTGTCTCTCTGTCTCTGTCTCTGTCTCTGTCTCTGTCTCTGTCTCTGTTGTCTCTGTCTCTGTCTCTGTTGTCTCTGTCTCTGTCTCTGTCTCTGTCTCTGTCTCTGTCTCTCTCTGTCACAGAGACAGGGACAGAGACAGAGACAAACTTGAGACAGAGACAAAGACAAAGACAAAGACAGAGAGACAGAGAGACAGAGAGACAAAGAGACAAAGAAACAGAGAGACAGAGAGACAGAGACAAAGAGACAGAGAGACAGAGAGACAGAGACACAGAGAGACAGAGAGACAGAGAGACAGAGAGACAGAGAGACAGAGAGACAGAGAGACAGAGAGACAGAGAGACAGAGAGACAGAGAGACAAGACACAGAGACACAGAGACACAGAGACACAAAGACACAAAGACACAGAGACACAGAGACACAGAGACACAGAGACACAGAGACACAGAGACAGAGACACAGAGACACAGAGACACAAAGACACAGAGACACAGAGACACAGAGACACAGAGACACAGAGACAGAGACACAGAGACACAGAGACACAGAGAGACAAAGAGACAGAGGGACAGAGAGACAAAGAGACAGAGAGACAGACAGACAAAGACACAAAGAAACAGAGACAGAGAGACAGAGACAAAGAGACAGAGAGACAGAGAGACAGAGAGACAGAGAGACAGAGAGACAGAGAGACAGAGAGACAGAGAGACAGAGAGACAGAGAGACAGAGAGACAGAGAGACAGAGAGACAGAGAGACAGAGAGCATTGCGAGTGGACCGGTGGTCAGCTGCGTAAGCACCAACAAAGTCGTGGTACTGCTACCAGCTGCATGTTCCGACACCTGGTACGTTTTCCACGCCCCCTTCTCCTGTCCCGCTCTTTGCCCATCATGGTTCATCGACATGAAGTTCAATGGGGCTTCAGTCCATTTGGTATTTCGGCCATACTCCCGTACGCAACCATAGAACGCATCCATGAGGGACGTTCCAGTTGGTGACTGACTGAACAATTCCGTCGAGCTCCTCCACAGCAGGCTCCGTGCTTTCCAGAACATACTGGAGAGCCTGCGTCATCTGCTGCAAGGACGCTGGCCAATGCGGCCGTTGCTTCCGCAGAGCCGTAGCGAAATGCTCGTGTGAAGGGGCGCCTGCGCCGGGACACGCACCACAGGAATGCGTGCTTTTCCATCCAGGTACCGTAGGCTGAGGTCCCAGTGACCTTGTCTTTGAATTCTGCCATCGTGCCAGTGGCTGCTGGCAGCTGCTGACGGCCTTTCAACGCGACTTGCGCAGGGAGGAAGATTTCCAGGCCCTGCAGACAATGGGAGAAGATGTGTCCCTTGCGCGCCGCGAATTGGTACTTGAGCAACCCGCGCATCGTCCCACCTTCCTGTAACATGGCCGCGCATCGCAATCTCCTCCACACGGCATAAGCCGTATCGGCTTTGGTCTGCAAGCGTCACATGGAGGTGCTTGTGCCAGAAGAGCGGGCTCCTCAATTCAGCCCATTCCGGAGGGAACACAATGTCTTGCGAACCAGCGGCCCAAATTTCGACATGTAGAGGCTCCACCGTCTGCTCCCTTTGCAAAATGGACATCGCGGTTGCCATGCACCCATGCCATGAGCAACTCCTCCTGGCACCCTCTGCGCAGTCTCAAGTAGCCCATATTAACCAAATGCTGAAGCAGCAGAAACATGACCAGCATTGGCCAGACGCATGGCAGTCCGTTGGAAAAAGTCAGGCTGAAGCTCCCTCAACCTCCAGAACATACTTCGTGCCCTCCAGCCATTCATTGAAGAACCGGAATTGTTCCAGAGGCCACACTGCAACCCGCAGCTGTGGGCGATACCGCACCGCTGTAGATTCAGCGTCTAGCACAAAAACTCGTTGGGAGCGCATTGAAAAGCCGAAGGGAGTCATGCCACGGTGCAAGCACCCACTGCGGAAATGTCAAAGTTCGACTGGCATAACCCCACAACACCGCAGGCTTGTCTCCATCCCTGCGCACCCCGCGCTCTGGAAATGCGATGGCCGGGAGGTTCCCGAGGTCAGCTGCAGTATCGCCATCGTTCAGCATTGCGCACCAATATAAGACGCTGTGCCAAACTGACACGCAATAGCAAGCGGAATGCGGCCCCAGCACAATCGGTCCGTAAAGGCGACTTTGGTGAACCACGAGGCTGGAGGCAAGGAGCTCGCATGCACCAAAACCTCATCATGCTCAGGATGCCACTTCAGTGCACTTCCCTGCCCACGATGAAAGTGCATGCCGCGGAGCCAAGCTGCAAGGGTTTGCACCATCTCGGGCAGTCCTCTCATGTCCAAGACTGAAAGAAGCAGGACTGCTGCGCGGCTCCGTGCTACGGGCTGC